AAGAATTTTGCCATAGTTCAAGTATCTCAAGATTTTCTAACCCACCAAGCTTTGTTGGAATAGGACCACTTAAGTTATTGCACATGAGATTTAGCAGCTGCAAATTCTTCAAACCTGCTAACTCATTCGGAATCTCCCCTGAAATGTTGTTATCAGAAAGATCCAAGTAAACTAAAGATGTAATATTTCCAACTTCAGCTGGAATCTTCCCTTCAAAACTATTCTGATACAAATACACAGTGGTCAGATTCTTCAACTTGCCTAATTCAGCTGGAATTTGACCACTTAAACTGCCAACAGCCAAGTCAAGATACTGAAGACTACTTAGATTACCAAACTCAGCTGGAATTGAACCTTCAAACTGATTGTATCCAAGAATTATAGTCTCTACAGCTTTCAATTCACCGAGCTCCCGAGGGATCTCTCCTGTAAGATTATTCCCTGATAGTCCAAGAAACTTCAAATTCTGAAGTTTCTTGAACGATAAAGGGATTGAACCTTCGAAGAAACTCCCTCGAAAATCCATGATTTCGAGCAATGTAGCATTGCCAAGATCCTGAGGGAGAAACCCCTCAAAGTTATTGCTAGAAGCATTGAGATATCTTAATCCAGAAGCCATTCCAAGACCTGAAGGGAACTTGCCAACAAAGTTATTTTGGTTCACATCAATGCTCTTTAAAGAAGTCAGATTGGCCAATGACTTTGGCAATGCAGTGGAGAAATCATTGCAACAAAGATTTAGTGAAGACAAACTCTTTAGCCCTTGAATTTGATCTGAAACTCTGCCACTGAGATTCATGTTTGACAAATCAAGATTATCTACAAAACCTTTGGAGTTGCACAAGACACCAGTCCATTTACAATGAACAGAACTTGAACTTGAGTTTCCATTGTTTGGCAAATTCCAGTCTTTGAGGTGATCCATTGGATCAACAAGACTGGACTTTAGTGCTAACAATGTTGAAACTTCATCACCATTTGATGAAACAATGAAAAAACCAATGAAAAATAACAAGAAAAAGAGATGATTTTTCATGGTTTGATCTTTTCACTAATTTTCTTCTCTGTGTTAATTCAGTTGTACAACATTCTTTTTTGGTTCTTGAGAACAAACTAATATGAAAGTGACCAAAATAACTTATACTACTATTTCATAAGAAGTAGTGTTAATCAGTTAGTTATCATGATTAACTAAAAATGGGACCCATATCTATCTGTATGCATGTTTTTTTCTTTTATTTCATTTTTGAGGGGTAGGGGGTGGGGCTAGAGAGTAAGAATGTAATGATTAGACACTAATGAAGGGGGATTAGTAATTAAATAATAAATATAATTGGGGAGTTCGTGAGGTCTTGGGAAATGGGATCTGAACCAGCTATTGATTTGTAGCTAATGACTGTAAAGGTTTTGGAGTTATTGAGAATGGAACCGACATTAAAACATGGGAAGGAATGTGTTTTCAGTGATTATTTTACCTATTTATGAAAAACATAATATTAACTTGTTTTGGTTGTTTTGTACTTTGTCTCATAATTGTTCAAAGGTCAAACCATTCTGAATGACAGTCAGTTTTTATTTTTAATCTATGTCGATAAAATTTACTACTAATATATCACTGCTCTTTCAGTTTCTGTCAGTGCTGTGGTCTGGTTGTANTTTTTTTTTTTTTTTTTTTTTAATTCTATGTCGATAAATACTATATATCACTGCACTGCTCTTTCAGTTTCTGTCAGTGCTGTGGTCTGTTTGGAAGAGAGTTGTGAGGAGCATAGTTTAATCAAATTCTGCTTTTATTTTCCCCTCATTTTAGACCTAAGGAAATTCTACTTTTAGCTAGCGTTGGGCCTTAGATTTGGTTAAATTTGAAATACTGAATTTTTGAAGATGAGAAGAAAAATAAGTTTTGAAATTTGAAATTATGTTTGAACATGCATTTTTTTCGAAATCAGCATTTATTCATAATTTTGAAGATGCATTTTGGGAATTTTCGAAAATTTGAAAAACTCCAAAAAGCTGTTTTTCAAAATTTTTCACTCAAATCGCTCATAAACTTTAAAAACAACCAAATATTATATTCATGTCCAAACATAACTCTAATTTCAAATACCATTTTCACTTAAAAATTATTTTTGGACCCTGTTTTGGAATTTTACTATTATTATGTCCAAACGCACACTAAAGTTGTCTTTGGGATTTGAAGTTTGAAAAAAAAGCTCTCAAATTTTATGGCCAAACGAGAGAGAGCTAATAGTATCTTTTGTTTTTAATGGTTGATTAAAATTTACTTCCTTCGTTCACTTTTACTTGTCCACTATACTATAATATATATTCACTTTTGCTTGTCTATTTTAGTAAATCAAGAGAAAGACAATTTTTTCCGTTTTATCCTTATCATTAACTACTCATTCTTCAAATTATTTCCCAAAACTTTTTGAAATGCTATCATTATTATGATAAAACTAAAACTGTAAAATACATACTTCATTTTTTTAAAGGAGTACAAAGTTAAAAGTGGACACCTAAACGTGAATAAAGGAAGTAATGGTATAAAAATGTAATGCTTTTACTAGTGATAGGTGATTAGTGAGTTGTGAAGAAGGACAAGATTACTCAAGGGCAACCATGAATAATGCTATTTACTCAAGATTTTTTGTAAGTAATACCGCCTTTAGGTATGACTCAATATGTTGGGTACGAGGGCATAGAGATGTTAAAATTTTACTTTTTATCTCAAATTGATGTTTACTTTGCATTATTTTTAAGTAGTCAATCTAATTTTTCTATACACATATACATACATACCTATAGATGTTTGAATTTTTTTATATATTGTATAGGTGTCTCCGTACACGGAGAGTAGAAAGTAACATGATTGTACTCTTTTTAATGTATCTATATCAATTTTTGTTTTCAGAAAACTTCCTGTTTGTTCGCATTTTCAAATAGTAATACAACTAAAAATATCTTCTGAAGTATTTAATCCATTAAAAAATATTCAAGAAAGAAAGTAAAATTTCAAGGTTAAGGCCGTGTTTGGTATGAAGAAAAATATTTTCCGCCAATTTTTCCATGTTTGGTTGGCTTAAATGTTTTAAAAAATATTTTCCTTATGAACTCGTTTTTTTCCTTATCAAGAGAAGGGAAAACATTTTCCANCTTTGCCAACCCCTCCCCCACCACACCCGCACAATTTTTTTTTGTAATTTCAAATTTCTGTTTTTTCGTTTTTCTGAACACTCCTTCCCCTCCCCCCCAGAATTTTTTTTTTATTATATATATTTTCAGTTTTAGTTTTTTCATCTTTCGGTTTACAGGTTCGAAATTTTACAAGCTCCAAAGTTATGAGTTCGAAGGTTTATGTGTTTGGAAGTTTACGGGTTTAGAAATTATAAAGTTTACGGATTCGAAAGTTTAGCAGTTCGGAAGTTTATGAAATTTGTGGGTTCGGAAGGTTGTTGGTTCGAAAGTTTATGGCTTCATGTTTATTGTATCTAAATTATTTATGAATACTCTTGAAAAGTTATTTTCCTTAATTTGCGTACCAAACACCGAAAAATGAATAAGATTACTACTTGTTTTTCAAGAAAACATTTTCCACGGAAGACATTTTCCGTTATACCAAACACACCCTAAATCTTTTTCTTTTTTCTTTTTCTTGCTCATTGACAATTTCGAAGTGTCAAATAGTTTAAATATTGAGCGGTAAAATTAAAGACTGAAAGCACCAAATAACGAAACGAGAGAAAATAATTCATAAATTTAATGCAACAATTTCAGTTTTATGGCAGTTAAGTTAACAAAAACTGCGTTCCTTTTCGCCCGTCGGTAATAGTGGTTAGTGGTAGACTATATTAATAAAGCATTATACTCATAGAACAAACTGAAATAAACAAATTCAAGTGGAATCCAAAAATAAAATAAAATAAGTGACCCTAATCAAATGGCTGTAATGTAATCTAAACATGTTAGTGCATGTACAATGGTTGGAAGTATCTCTTCATTAGTGTACTTTTTAATAACATTTTCACATATATACCCATATAAAATAATTTGTAATGACTATCTATTATATGCAAAAATAAAGAGAGAAAATTAATAATTGTCCGAGTACATAAAAACAGCATTCCTCCAAATAATGACATGACTAATTTTGCACAGTTTACTTGGTAATCACATGGACCCATCTGGCAAAGTGAATCTTAATTAATTTATACTTTGTTTTATTTACATGACAATAATCTGCAAGTTCTTGAAAAGGTTGATATGTGTGATATGATATGTTAATAAATTAAATAAATTCATTTCTCTCTCTAAAGAAAAAGGTTGGAAGCCATGTGAAGAGGGCCTGAAGTTGCAGCAGCAGCTTCCTCTTGGGAATGAATGATTGAATGAAACTATGCATATCCCATTGCATTATTGGAGGGGACACTTATTAGACCCACATTTGCCACACTCAAACAATACATGTTTTTTAAAAATAAAAAGAACAAAAAGATCAAGAAAAATCAATCCTTTTTGTTTCAAGGGAAAAGAAGAAGAGAAAAACATATTATGCTATTATTGAAGCAATAGTAAGAATTCATGAGGTGGAGCATTAGGTATCCCCACATGGCTTTATACCAAAGCCACCATCAAGACTTCATCATTGACCCAATTATTTGAGATAAATATATCCTTCTTAGTAATTCCTTTTTTCTTCTCTTTAAACCTTCTTTTATCTTTTCAGCATTAGACTTATTAAAATTAATAATATATCTGACTTTAATATACATATGATTATTAAGGTATTGACTTTAAATATGAACAACAAATAATTAAGACTATTTTTTTTCTCGCATACGAAATATATAATCTATTTGTATAACTAAAACTTATAAATATAGAATTTTTAAAATGATAATTACGTATTTTATTAATAAAATATTAAAGAAAATCTTAATTTATGGTGATGTAGAGCTATTTGTTTGATGAAATACACTCTAAAAGCTAGCGACGTTGATTGTGAGCAATGATGATTGTAAGGTGATAGTGTGGTTGTAGTTAGTCGAGGTGACTGATGATGGCGGTTGTGCGGTAAGGGCTGATGGTTATATGGTGGTGCTAGAGGCAGGGGCGGAGCTACGGTAGAGGGTGCGGGTTCGGGCGAACCCAGTGACTTTTTCCGAGACCCTGTATTTGTATTGAAAAATTTACTCTTTATATATAAATATATCCTACCGAACCCAGTAACAAAATGTGTCTGGGTTCAATGGTAAGAGTTTTGGGTTTGCTCGGAGAGCACAGGGGTTCGAATCCTGCTTATCCTGCTTTACGCGGGTAAGAGTTTTCTTGTTTTTTACATCGTGGCTGTTTCCTCTCCAACAACAAAAACACTATTTTCCACCGTTAAAGAGCCTTCTTACTCAATTGAAAACCAATAGCTTTTCTCCATGAAAGTTGTTCTCAAACTCCAGTTCCAAAACACCTCAAACTTCAGCTACAAAACTCCATTAAACTCCCACAAAAATCAGCAAAAATCAGCTCCCAAAACCCCCTTTTACACCAATAGTGGGAGAGGAGTGGTTGTGAGGAAAGCTGGGTTGAACTTAGGAGGGAGGAAAGCGGAAGCAGAGAAGATGTTTGGGTTAATGGATGAGTTCTTGAAGAATGATGCAGTTAGTTTACAAAAAGATATTCTTGATCATGTTGAATTTACTGTTGCTCGATCAAGATTCAATTTTGATGATTTTGAAGCTTACCAGGTACTCCCATTTCCCGATTTATTTGACATTTGTTCAAAGGTGTAAAAATTGCACAACATACTCATTTTTGGCATTTGGGTCTCGTTTAACTGCATCATCCCTTATTCTTGATTTGCTTATTTGTTGGAATAGAGTCATGTTTCACTTACTGCTAGAATTATACCTTTATTAAGAAGAAAATCTTCATATGTCTACAGTAGAGCTACAGTAGAAGAAAATCTAGTGACTTTTTTCGAGACCCTGTATTTATAATTTAGAACCCATACACTTATAATCCTAGCTCTGCCTCTGGCTAGAGGTGAGGATTGCATGGTGGTAGCAGTTAGTGCAGAAGGTTGTTGTTGTTGGTGGCTAGCAGCGGGAGTGGTTGGCAGTGGCTATGGAGGTTGTTGAGAGTAATGATGGAGGTAGTTGTTATTCCTAGTGGTTGATGGTTGCAATCAATGGTTGATAGCGGCGATTGATGGTGGAGGTGATTGGTGGTCATGATGATTAGTAGTTGTGGTTATCAGTGACAATAGTTATTAGTGGTGGTTGATAGTGGTGATCGTATGCTGGAGGTTAGTGATACAACTTATATGTTATAATTGATATTGTAGCTTTAGAAAGTTACGTTCGAAAGAAGAATTTTACATGGACAATAACTTAATGATCATAAAATTATGTATACAATCTAAATAACTCACACCAGTTAAAATCGAGTAAGTATTTGGAAAAGGAAAAATACAAATGCATCTAATGCAAAATTTGAGTGATTTAGATTCATATCTTCATTAAGTGAAAAACAAACATGCCCCAAATGGAACTCATGATTTCTGCTTGGAATTACACCCGTAACCTTCACCCTACTATTTAAGCAATATTCAAATTAAATTTTCAAATTATTTAACTTGTAGGTTATAGCTATGGTGTTGGCAAACTTCAGATACGAGCTTGCGTGTCATCTCTCATTTCTTTTTCTCCTTCTCCCCAGTTGTTATACAACTATGAATTAACAACTTAAATATTGCATATGCCAGTGAAACAAGAAACTCCAATCAAAACACTCAAGTACTAGTTCTCCGATTCCCAGACTCGTTGAATAAATTGACATTCCCCTTATTTCTTGAACACCCTATCATGCATGTAAGAAAATATGAATTAAAGAAAACAAAAAGAAAAGAAAAAAGAGTGGAGAAACAGGATGATAAATTGAATTTCTAAATAAACACATATATCTCCTCTCTCTCTCTCTCTCTCTCTCTCTCTCTACCCGATAGGTCATTTTTAGTTTTAGCGTTCATTTCTGTGTTTCGAGACCTCGAATAGCTCCGTTTAGCCCTTATATATATATACAGACACACTCGATAGGTCATTTATAGTTTTAGCCTTCATTTCTGTATTTTGAGACCTCGAATAGCTCCGTTTAGACCTCCTCGACTTGCGTGGACAGTCTATGTCCTTTTCCGGAAAATTTATGAGAAAAAATTGAAGAAAATGTGAACATTAGCTTTAAAAAATAATTTGAGTTGACTACGGTCAATATTTTATGCAAACGGACCCAGATCAGTATTTTGACGGTTCGGCGGGTCCGTATCGTGATTTGGGACTTGGGCGTATACCCAAAATTGAATTCGAAAGTCCCTAACTTAATTTAACATAATTTGTTGAAAATTTATAATTTGAAGGTTTAAAGAATTCCTAAGTTTGACCATAGGTTAACTTTATTGCTATCGGATTCAAATTTTGATTTCGGAACTCAAAATAGGTTCATTTCACTATTTATGGTTCATCTGCAAAATTTGGTGCAAAACGGAGTTGATTTGACGTGATTCGGACGTCCGGTTGTAAATTTGGAAGTTCTTAAGTCTTTTTTTGAAAATTTCATTCATTTTGATGTCTGATTCGTAGTTCTTGGTGTTATTTTGGTATTTTGACTGCGAGAGCAAGTTCATATGATGTTATTACATTTGTGTGCATGTTTGTTTGAAGCTCGAGGGGCTCGGGTGAGTTTCAGATAGGCTGCGAATCGATTTTTGGACTTGGATAGCTACTGGTTTGTTGTTGCTGGTTTCTGTCACTTTGTGTTTTGCGATCGCGAGCGAAGGGGAAACTGGGACAGGGGTGGAGTTCCTTCATCACGAACGCGATGGCTTTGTCGCAAACGTGAAGCACTGGGGGGGTTTACCCTTCGCATATGCGACCAGCCTCTCGCGACCACTTAGGGTTATGAGGCCTGGGAGGGGAGCTGAACTGTTACTCTTCACGAATGTGACATCAGGACCGCGAATGGGAAGGCAGGTGGGAGTAAGCCTTTGCGAACGCAAAGGCCTTTGGCCGTTGTTGCTTTGCGATCGTGTCAAGTGTCTCGCGAACTCGATGAACACCTGGCGCCTAATCTTTTAAACTTCTAAAAATCGGGATTTAACCCATTTTTCACCATCTCCACATTAGAGCTCGGCCTAAAGGCAATTTTGAAGAAGAATTTCATCCCCACTTCATATGTTAGTATATTTTAACTCGTTTTTTTTTTCATTTTCATCAACATCCATTGATTTCTATCCTTTAATCTATACTCTTTCATGGTAGAAATTAGGGATTTGAGTAGAATTGGAGATTTTTATAAAATTGAGATTTAGACCTCAAATTAAGGACATATTTCGAAACTAAATACATAATCGGGCTTAGGGGTGAATAGGTAATTTGGTTTTGGTCCGAATCTCAGGTTTTGACTAAGCGGGTCTGGGATGGACTTTTGTTGACTTTTTCCAAAATCATTAAAAATTAAATCTTTTTCACTCGTGGGTAGTTTCTAAAGCTTATTTTGAATTCTTTGAACTATATTTGGTTAGATTTAATTGGTTTGGAAGCAAATTTTAGAGGAAAGACCCCGGTTGAGCTTTGATTTGATTGCGGATGGTTAACCTTGACTTGATGGATTATGACTTGTTAGTATATTTTCTACGTGTTTAATGTGTGGGAATAACGTATATGTGAGGTGACAAATACTTATGCATTGTTGTTGGGTTAAAGAATGCGGGTGGAACTTATTTTCTTGTGTTTTATTGCATTATTAATTATGATATCCATGCTTAAATTAGGTTATTACTTCTTTGATTATTCCATCAATATTTATTTCTTATTTCGTAATTGTTGAGTATTTCGAAAGTTGAAGTTTGGTATCTTGGTATCATATTTGACGTTAAATACATTCTCACCCTTATTTATTTCCCGAATTCATATTATCTTCATCACATGGTAAGGAAGAGTGTAAAAGCACGAAGGGTGATGCCGTACCATTGCATTTATATCATTTATTGATTAATACATAGTGAGGAAGAGAATAAAAGCACGAAGGGTGATGCCGTGCCATTTATCTCATTTATTCATTATTATATGGTGAGGAAGAGAGTACAAGCACGAAGGGTGATGCCGTACCATTGCATTTATATCATTTATTGATTAATACATAGTGAGGAAGAGAATAAAAGCACGAAGGGTGATGCCGTGCCATTTATCTCATTTATTCATTATTATATGGTGAGGAAGAGAGTACAAGCACGAAGGGTGATGCCGTGCCATTCTTCTCATTTATTCATTAGTTCATTGGTTTATCTGATTTCATTGGTTGATGATTTATTTGACTACTACATGATTTCATACCTGTCGCCGTTATAGTATTTCCCCCTTTTGCATGTCCCATCCTAGTTTGTATGTTGTTATTCTCTCTTATTGTTATTGCTGCGTATATATACTTGTACATGTTTAATTACGTAGGTGTCCTATTATAGCCTCGTTACTACCTCGTCGAGGTTAGGCTCGACACTTACGGAGTACACTGGGTCGGTTGTACTCATACTACACTTCTGCACTCCTTATGCAGATTATGGTATTGGTCCCAACAGTGCATGAGGTGCATCAGATCCTTGCATACGAAGACTTGAGGTAGATCTGCTAGCGTCCGCAAACCTTGAAGTCCCCTTCCTCTTCCCTTTTTTACTGTTCATATCTTTCGAAACAGTTGGATTAGAACTTCTAGTTGCTCCTGTATTTGTGACTCGGGATCTTTAGGAGTAAATATGATCACATGACTTATGTTGGTACTGTATCAGATTGAGTTTTTATTTCTCATTGTGTACCATTATTGTGTTTAAACTGTTAAAATCGACTATTTAATTATCTCATGTCGACTTGCCTAGCAAGTGGATATTAGGCGCTATCACGACCTCGAGGTTGAGATTTCGGGCCGTGACAAGTTGTTATCAAAGAACTAAGTTTTCTAGGTCTCACGAGTCATGATCAAGCTTAGTAGAGTCTGGAGGATCGGTACAAAGACTTCTGTACTTATCTTCTCGAGGCTATGGAGTTTAAGAAAAATTTCACTTCTTTACTTCTCTATCATGTGATTTTATTCTATTATTGATTATTCAACCACTTTATTCTTGTTCTCTCGAAAATGGCGAGAACACGCACAATATCTACAGTTGGGCAGGAGCCAAATCCCCATATGGTAGCTACTACCAGGGGCAGAGGCCGAGGCAGAGCTCAACCTAGAGGTCGGGCAACAACACCCGCAGTAGAGCCTCAGTGGATCATAAGGAGGAGGAGGTCCCAGCTCAGACCGTACCCGTCGGACTAGCTTAGGTCCCGGAGGGGTTCATAGCCACTCTAGTGCTTCAGGATGCTCTCGTCCGCTTGGTGGGCCTTATGGATAGTGTGGACCAGACCGATGCATTTTCGGTGGCACCATATGTCTCTCGGCTTGGGGGAGAAGCACAGACTCCTACTACTCACACCCCAGAGTAGGTGACTCCCCTATATCGGACTCCAGCACTCTAGCTAGTTTGGGTGGTTCAGCCGGTTGTTGCGGCACGTGTTGGTGATAGGCCCACTATGTCTTTTGAGGCCTTGTTGAGGCTAGATAAGTTTACCAAGCTCTTCCTTGTTCATTTTAGTGGTGCACCTTCTGAGGACCCATAAGATTACTTGGATCGTTGCCACGAGTAGTAGCGCAACATGGGTATAGTTGAGACCAATGGGGTCGATTTTGCAGTGTTCCAGATGACCTGTTTTGCCAAGAGATGGTGGAGAGATTATGTGTTGACTAGATTAGTTGGTTCACCTTCTCTTACTTGGGATCAGTTTTCACCGCTATTTCCAGAGAAGTTCATTCCTTTCACTCTCAAGGAGGATTACCCCAGGCAGTTTAAGCGTCTTCAACAGGGTAGTATGATTGTTACCCAGTATGAGACTCAATTTTTAGACCTAGCTCTCCATGCTATTATCTTGCTCCCTACTGGGAGGGAGAGAGTGAGGAGATTAATTGATGGGCTCACTTTCACTGTCAGACTACAGATGGCCAAGGATATCGGAGATGATATTTCTTTTCAGAGGGCTGTAGCGATTGCTAGACAGATCGAGATGGTTCGTGGTCAGGAGAGGGGACCGACATCTAATAAGAGGCCTCGTCATTTTGATGGTTTCAGTGGTGCCTCGTCTGGAGGCAGGGGTACTTTTGGTAGAGGCCATCCTTCCAGACCGTTTTAGTCAGCGCTTCAGGCATCCAACGATGCTTCGAGCAGTCATGGTCCTTATATGTCTCATCCTGAGCAGCTAGCCTACAGTGCACCTCCAGCTCCTATTAGTGCACCTTCGATCCAGAGTTATCAGAGCAGTTACCCAGGTCGATAGGGCCAGTTCCAGGGTCAGCAGTCATAGCAACCAAGGGCTTGTTACACTTGTGGAGATCTGAGGCACCTTTCTAGATTTTGCCCTGATCACAGGGCAGCATGCACCAACAAGTTTCTCCTGCCATGATTCCGGCACCGGTTGCTCCACTTCCCGCTCAGCCAGCTAGAGGCAGGGGTCATGTTTCCAGAGGTGGAGGCCAGGCTATTAGAGGTGGAGGTCAGGCCGTTAGAGGTGGATGCCAGCCAACTAGAGGCCGTTCGGGAGACGGAGGTCAGAGTGGTGCGGCCCAGCCCCTATATTTATGCATTCTCGGCTAGAATTGAGGCCGAATCATTTGACGCCGTCATCACAAGTATTGTTCCAGTTTGCTATAGAGATGCTTTAGTTCTATTTGATCTGAACTCTATTTATTCCTATGTGTCATCCTATTTTGTTTCATATCTGGTTGTGCCTTGTGATTATTTGAGTGCTCCTGTGTATGTGTCCATTCGTGTTGGAGATTTTATTGTTGTAGATCATGTCTATCTCTCATGTGTGATAACTATTTGGAGTCTTGAGACTAGTGTAGATCTCCTACTTTTTGATGTGGTAGACTTTGATGTTATTTTAGGCATGAATTGGTTGTCACCTTATCATGCTATATTGGATTGTCAAGCCAAGATGGTGACCTTAGCCATGCGGGGGTTGACTCTATTAGAGTGGAGAGGGACTCTTGTCCATTATACCAGCAAGGTTATTTCTTATGTCAAGGCTAGACGTATGGCGGAGAAGGAGTGTCTAACTTATTTGGCCTATGTTCATGATTCGAGTGCGGAGCTTCCTTCCATGGATTCAGTACTTGTTTTGCATGAGTTTGTAGAGATGTTTCCTGCAGATCTATTGGAGATGCCACCCGATAGAGATATAGACTTCTATATTGATTTGGCTCGAACACTTAACCCATTTCTATTCCACCATACCGTATGGCCCCGCCGGAGTTGAAGTAATTGAAGGGGCAGTTGCAAGATTTGCTTGATAAGGGATTCATAAGACCTAGTGTCTCACCTTGGGGTGTGCCCGTGTTGTTCATGAAGAAGAAGGATGGTTCGATGAGGATGTGTATAGACTATCAACAGTTGAACAAAGTCACTATCAAGAACAAGTACCCGTTGCCGAGGATTGATGACTTATTTGATTAGTTTCAAGGTGACAAAGTATTTTCGAAGATTGACTTGAGGTTCGACTACCAGCAGTTGAAGATTATGGCATCCGATGTCCCTAATACGGTTTTTAGACTCAGTATGGGCATTTTGAGTTCATAGTGATGTCATTTGGGTTGACAAATGCCCCAACATTATTTATGGATTTGATGAACCGGGTATTAAGCACTACTTGGATTATTTTATGATCGTATTCATTGATGATATCTTGATCTACTCTCACAGTCGAGAGGAGCATGAGCAGCATCTTCGGATTGTACTTTAGACTCTGAGAGATAGTCAGTTATATGCCAAGTTTTCAAAGTGTAAGTTTTGGTTAGACTTGGTCACCTTTTTAGGGCTTGTTGTATCAACCGAGGGCATAAAATTGGATCCTACAAAGATTAAGTCAATTCAGAACTTGCTGAGCCTACTTCAGCTACAGAGATTCGGAGTTTCCTGGGTTTGGAGGGTTACTGTTCGTGGAAGGGTTTTCATCCATAGTAGCCCCATTGACTAGATTGACCTAGAAGGGTGCTAGTGGTTCGATGAGTGTGAGCTGAGCTTTCAGAAGCTCAAAACTGCTTTGACTACAGTGCCAGTGTTGGTGTTGCCCACAGGTTCAGGATCCTACATAGTGTATTGTGATGCATACCGTATTGGGCTCGGTGCAGTATTGATGCAGGATGGCAGGGTGATTGCATATGCATCACGGCAGTCGAAGGTTCATGAGAAGAATTACCCTGTTCATGACCTAGAGTTGGCAGCCATTGTTTATGCACTGAAGATTTGGAGGCATTACCTCTACGTCATATCGTGTGAGGTGTTCATGGATCATCGGAGTCTATAGTATTTGTTCAAGAAAAATGATCTCAACTTGAGGCAGATGAGGTGGTTGGAGTTGTTGAATGATTATGATATCACTATTTTGTATCATCTCGGGAAGGCCAATGTGGTAGCCGATGCCTTGCATAGAAAGGCATTGAGTATGAGTAGCGAACCCGTAAGGTTATGGGGCCTTGGAGGGGAGCTAAGCCGTTACTCTTCGCGAATGCGACATCAGGACCGCGAACGTGAAGGCTGGTGGGAGTAAGCCTTCACGAACATGAAGAATAGCTTGCAAACATAAAGGCCTTCTGCCGCTGCTGCTTCGCGATTGCGTCAGGTGTCTCGCGAATGTGATGAACACCTGACGCCTAGTATTTTAAACTTCTAAAAATCGAGATTTAACCTATTTTTCACCATCGCCACATTAGAGCTTGGCCTAGAGGCGATTTTGAAGAAGAATTTCATCTCTACTTCATAGGTTAGTATATTTTAACTCGTTTTCTTCCATTTCCATCAACACCCACTAATTTCTAACCTTTTATCTATGCTCTTTCATGGTAGAAATTAGAGATTTAGGTAAAAATGCAGATTTTTGTAAAATTGAGATTTAGACCTCAAATTGAGGTCAGATTTCGAAACTAATCACATAATCGGGCTCGGGAATGAATCGGTAATTGGGGTTTGGTCCGAATCTTAGGTTTTGACCAAGCGGGCTCGTGGTAGACTTTAGTTGACTTTTTTCAAAATTATTAAAGATTGAATCTTTGTCACTCGTGAGTAGTTTCTAAAGCTTATTTTGAATTGTTTGAACTATATTTGGTTAGATTCGATTGGTTTGGAGGCGAATTTTAGAGGAAAGGCCCGATTGAGCTTTAATTTGATTGTAGAGTGAGGTAAGTATTGTGGTTAACAAGGGCGATACCGTGCCATTTTCATATCATTGGTTTATCTGATTTCATTTGTTGATGATTTATTGGACTACTACATGATTTCATAACTGTCGTAGTTATCATATTTTCCCCTTTTGCATGTCCCCTCCCAGTTTGTACTTGTTATTCTCTGTTATTGTTACTGCTTTGTATAAATACTTGTACAGGGTTAATTACATAGGTGTCTTGTCATAGCCTCGTCACTACCTCGCTGAGGTTAGGCTCGACACTTACGATGTACATTGGGTCGGTTGTATTCATACTACACTTCTGCACTCCTTGCGTAGATTCTGTTATTGGTCCCAGCAGTACGTGAGGTGCGTCAGCTCAGATTCTTGCATACGGAGACTTGAGGTAGATCTTCTGGCGTCCGCTGACCTTGAAGTCCCCTTACTCTTCCCCCTTTTACTGTTCATTGCCTTCGAAATAGTTGTATATATTTCAGACTCTGTTTGTAAAACTTCTAGTTGCTCATGTATTCGTGACTCCGTATCTTTGGAAGTAAATATTATCACATGAATTATGTTGGTACTATATCAGATTGGGTTTTTATTTCTCGTTTATATCATCATTGTGTTTTTAAATTGTTATCGACTATTTAATTGTCTCACGTCGATTTGCCTAGCAAGTGGATGTTAGGCACCATCGCAACCCCGATGTTGGGATTCCCGGTCATAACATATATATATATATATACATATATACATACTAGATGAGGTAAGGGCCCATATATGGGCCCAACATTGTAATTTTAAAATTCTTGTTTGTTAGTGTTTAGTTAATTTTTTGACAAATAAATAATCATTATTATATCCATTTAGTCATGGATAACGAATGATATTGGGGATCACAGTTTACAATTAATTTATTTTAATAATATATATAAAATTAAACTACAAGTTATAACTTGTATAAGTTGCTCCAATTAATATAAAAAAGATTATGTGCTATAATACTCATTTTAACCTCATGTCAATGTCAAACACAAATATCAAATGGAAAATTTGATATCAAGGGTACTATTTTTCCACTGTATTTGAATATTTTACAAGAGAATACATTAAAAAGCTACAAGTGTCATCTATATAAATTTTCTAGAATAAAAAGCATACCAACCTATCTGTAAACTAATCTGGAATACATCCAAATTGGTCTTGCAAGTGTTTCAACCGTGGGAACAATTAGCTACTTGATGAAAGTTTAAACGAAAACATCATTATTTACAATACGATAAAAGATGAAAAAAACTACTCCCTCCGTTTCAATTTATGTGAACCTATTTTATTTTTAGTTCATGCCAAAAAGAATAACCTCTTTCCATTGGAAACAATTTACCTTTATGCAATGGTTTACAACCACACAAAATATATGTGCCTCATTTTACATCACAAATGCAAAAGTCTTTTTTTTCTCTTAAATTTTGTGGCCAGTCAAATGGTTTCACATAAATTGAAACGGGGGGAGTATGATTTTACTTCATATCTTGTATATATCTGTAATGACCCGGCCAGTCGTCTCATGAGTTACCGCTCCGTTTTTCCCATTTCTGCTTCTTTATGCTTTGTTTATCCGTGTTATGTGGTATCAGGTCGGTTTGATCGGGTTCGGAAAGGATTTGGTAAGGTTTGAGATACTTAGTATCTTTAGAGTGAGTTTAAGTTGAAAAAGTCAACTAGATATTGACTTGTGTGTTAGAGGGGTCGGATGTGAGTTTCGATGGTTTGGTTAGCTTCGGGAGGTGATTTGGGACTTAGGAGCATGATCAGGTGAGTTTCAGAGGGTTGAACGGATCATTTTGAGTTGAGAAAATTGCAGATTTTGGTTTCAACTGTTGTAGGTATTTTACTCTTCTCGTTCGCGAGTGGACCCTCGCGTTCGCGAAAAGTCAGTTGAGGAAGGTAGAATTTAAGCCTTCGCATTCGCGAGGAAGGTTACACGTTCGCAAAGGGCTAAGGGATTGTGCATCGCGTTCGCGGGGGAGGAGTCGCGTTCGCATAGAGCAAAAAGGGCAGCTGAGCTTCAGGGGGAATTTGTTCATCACGTTCACGATAACGGGAACGCGATCGCAAAGGTCTATCTAAGTGAAGCATCGCATTTGCGATGGGGTTGTCGCGATCACATAAGAGGAATGTTGGTCAAATTATTTTGTGCTTCGTGAACGCGAGGCTTTGACCACGTTTGCGAAGAAGGAAATTAAGACCTGGGCAGAAGGTTTAAAAGGTCGTCTTGTCCGCGAATGTGGGGTTTATTTCTTCCATTGGTGGTCGTTTTTGGAGTTTTTTGAAGGTGATTGAAGAAGGATTCAACTGGAATCACTTGGAGGTAAGATTCTTGGACTTAAAACTCGATTCTAATGTGAATTCCACCTAAATAATCATGGAAACTAAGCCTAAAATTTAGGAATTAGGGCTTGAGATTAAGAGATTTTAAAATGAGAATTTGAGGGGTCATTTGGACTCCGATTTCAATGTTCTTGATATGTATGGACTCGTGGGAGGATAAGGATTTCGTTGATGTGATTTTTATCGAGTTTCAAGATGTGGGCCCGGGGTTTGGGTTTGGCCAATTTCAGGATTTTTGGTATAATTTGATTATTTTTGTTTGGGCTTCGTTCCCTTAGCATATTTTGACGTCGTGATTCTGATTTTGAATATATTCGACGCGAGTGGAGGCTAATTTGAGGGGAAAAGGCATCACGGAGTAGTATTTTCATCGGTTTGAGGTAAGTAACCATTGTAAATCTGGAACTGAGGGTACAAACCCCGGTGTTTGACTTGTTTTGATAAAGGCGGTGACTCACATACTAGGTGACGAGCGTGTGGGTGTGCACCGACAGGGATTGTGACTTGGTCCATCCCGTAGCGACTATTGAGCCGCGTATTTGATTTGAAACCTTATGATATTATGTACTTTAGCTATTTATACTATATTATGGGCTGCATGCCATGTTTGAGGCCTTGTGCTGACCTGTTGAGACCCTTAGAGGCATGTTTACTGTTTTTTCCTCACTTTACTTGTTGAAAGCATATCCTCAGTCATGTTTTACCTATTTAAATGTTTAAAACTAGTTTTATCACCCTACTTCTAAATGTGAGGACTGTTTGGGCTGAGTTTCCTAATTTCTATTGTTGTGCCCGAGAGGTTGTGAGGTTAATGACTGAGAGAGGTTGAGAACCTAATAGTGAGGATATTATATGTATATATTATGGATCGAGCTGCACGCTGGAGCGATATATATATTGGATCGGGCTGCACACCGCAACAATATATGTATTGGATCGGGCTATGCGCCACAACGATATGACGCTTGGGCTGTAGGAGCCCTTCCGGAGTCTGTACACCCCTAGTTAGCGTAGTCGACTATAAATTACGGATCGGGATACACCCCGCATCGGCTACTATGATTTCTATTATTGTAAGATATTAATGAGCCTGAGTGCTAAGAGTGAGTATTGAGTGACGAGAGTCAGTCACGAGTGACTGATTGTCTGCCCGAGAGGCTATGTTCTGAGTGATACCTTGCCCGAGGGGCCCAATTACGATATTTTCACTGATTTCACTCTTCTTTTAAAAATAGCCTCTATTGGAATAATTGCTAAGTATATGATTTCAAGTTTTTAAACTGAAGTTGATAATTTTATGACGAAACCTGTTTTAAACTGTGAAATGGATTTGTTATCCTGTTGTTTATTCAATTATATGATTTTTAACTGCTCGTCACTGCTTTCAGACCTTATTTACTTTAGTTACTTACTGAGTTGGCATACTCACGCTACTCTCTGCACTTTGTGTGCAGATCCAGGTGCCCGAGTGGCAAAGTGAGGGTCCTCAGTTGATCCAGAGTTTGCCGGAGATTTCAAGGTAGCTGCATGGCGTTCGCAGCCCTGTTTTCTCCTTCTTATCTTGTTCTTTTCCGCATTTTTTCTAGATTTTTGTTGTATCAGACAGTCATTTATGTAGTAGAGGCTCTAGACTCGTGACACCAGATATTTGGGGCTGTGTAGTTCATGTTTATTTGACTTCTGCTTATATTTTGTTGTTTTTAAACACTTATTATGGAAATTTGGTATTTAAACCAGTGTTAGAAAATGGTTTTATAAAAGGAATTTATTGTAGTTAATGGTTTGGGTTGGCTTGCCTAGTAATGTGATAGGCTCCATCACGACCATGTATTTGGGGTCGTGACAAGTTGGTATCAGAGCCTAGGTTACATAGGTCTCGCGAGTCATGAGCCGGTTTAGTAGAGTCTCGCAGATCGGTACAGAGACATCTGTATTTATCCTCGAGAGGCTGCAGAACCTTTAAGAAAATCTTCATGTCCTTGAAATTCTTGTCATGCGAATCTGTTGATCCGAATACTAAACTTCTGTTATTCCATTGTCTCATAGATGGTGAGGACACGTGCTACCAGACAGGGTGGACGACCACCAGTACCACCAGTTGGGGCCACCAGAAGCCGATGATGTGGTATAGGCCGTGGTAGGGGCAGAGCAGCTAGGGCAGCACTTGCAAATCCACCAGTTGCCCCAGTTCAGGATCAAGTTCGAGTTATGGATGCTACAACAACACCAGCTCAGGTACCAGCTGTGCCCATTGTGATTCCAGGCCTTTAGGAGGTTTTAGCTCAGATCTTATTAGTGTGTACCGGTCTGGCTCAAGCGGTTTCAATTACCACAGCCGCAGCTACTTCTCAGGCCGAGGGAGGTACCCAGACTCCCGTTTCTCGCACACCTGAGCAGGTTGTGCAGGGACTCCAGACACCAGGAGCACCTCCAGCCCAGTCGGTTGCACCAGCTTAGGAGTTTGTGGTACTAGTTATGTCGGATTACGAGCAGCGTCGACTAGAGAGGTTTGGTAGACTCGAGCCTCCAATTTTTAGCGATGCAGAGGGCGAGGATGCCCAAGGGGTTCTTGGATAAGTGCCAGAGGATGCTTCGTACAGCGGGTATTCTAGAGACCAGTGGTGTGGCTTTTACCACCTTTCAGTTTTCTAGGGCTGCCTTCACTTGGTGGGAGGTGTAGGCCTGTTGGTGCAGCGCCCCTTACCTGGAAGCAGTTCTCCGTTATCTTTCTGGAGAAGTATGTACCGCAGTCTCGCTGAGAGGAGTTGTGTCAGAGAGAGATGACTGTAACACAGTATGAGATGCGGTTCTCTAAGTTAGCTCGTCATGCGGTCTGGTTGGTTCCAACAGATAGAGAGAGGATAATGAGGTTTGTTGATGGTCTCACATACCAGATTCAGATTCTCATGACTAGGGAGAGGGTGATAGGTGCTATTTTCGAGGAGGTTGTTGACATCGCCCGTGAGATTGAGTCGGTTCGCCGCCAGGAGCGAGAGGAGAGGGAGGCCAAGAGGCCTCGGGGATCTGGTAGCTTTAGTAGTGCTCCTTCGAGGGGTCAGTTCCAGCAGGGCAGAGGCCGCCTATTCAGACATGCTCATTCAGCTCGCCCAGGTTATCAAGGGGCATCATCGGGTCATGGTTCTTACAATTCTCATTAGGGACACTCATCACTTAGTGCCCTTCTAGCCCAGA